GCTGGCGCGCGTGCGGGCGCTGCGGCGCCGTGGCGCTGGCCGCCGCGCTGCCCGGCCGCCACCCGCTGCAGCGCGCGCACGACGCGCGCTTCCTCGAGGCCTGCCGGTACGCCCTCGCCCGCCACTCCCCACTCCGCCCCTCCGCCACTCCGCGATGGAACTAGAGATCGCCAATGTGCACGAACAGTTATTCTAACGAACGTCCAAACACTAAGAGCGACTCGCTCGAGCCGGCACCCTCCGAGTGAAGAAATCAATTTCTCGCAGATGGCGCTCCGGCAAAAGTTAGAATCATTTTGTGTTCCGACACGGGACGCTTGCTCGTAGCGATGTTACTTGACTACCAACCTTCCCGAAAGCCTTAAAATCCGAGTAAACGTTTGCTAACCTTACAAACCAATTTGCGTCATGCGCTGCGTAGCTGTCAGCAATCTGGTCGTCCGGTTGGCTTACTCTTTCACAACTCCGATCTTTTTTTTTTGTTAACCTACCTCTTTGTACTCTTAATTGGGTGTGGTGACCATGACCACGTTTCATGTTTATTTACATTTTTATTAAAAAGCGCAATAACCTTTTTTGTTGGAAAAACGCTCTGTTACGTCATCTACGAGACATCACGTATCACATGAAGGAAAAAGGGAGCCAAATTTATATAATATACAATATTCCCCAAAATATTGCCATTACGATGAAATATTTTCGCATAAGAGCCAATTTTTACGAGCTCATGTTATTAAATTGGGTGTTTCAAAAACTTTTTGACAATATTTATTTTGTTAATACACATAATTTAAAGTTTTCTTCACGATTCCTTAAAATATTTTTTAGTGGTGACATCCCTTTTACTTACATTTAGGATCTCGAATTTCGTTCCATAGTTTAGATGCCTCGATGGTAATAATATAAAACACTCGTATATAAGAAAATACTAAGTACCTATTTCTGTCATTTACAGTTCAATTCAATGCAATTCTTTATTGCATTTACCATAATGTTACAAGGATGACAATGGCTTAAAGCTAAAGTAACAGCGCATTATTACTACATAATTACCCAATTTTGTCATATTTTTCAGATGTGGAGGCAAATGGACGTTGTTTTCTAACGTATAGCAGTATTGAAGAATCTTCTAGAGTTAAGATATTCCGTTAGGATCGCCAATTAATATTAGGTCAGAAATATTTTTGATCATTATTGGTAATAATTATATAAAGAAATGATGAAATATTTTTTGTTGTTTATTTCACCAGTACACCTATCCACGTACCTATTACTTTCGTATATTTTTTTATAATCACTATGATTATCAAAGTGTCGTTACATGTTTCTTGTGTAATACTCAAGACTACCAATGATCTTGACGTACGAGATCGAAACTATCTATCAGTTTGAATTATTTCAGACACTATTTTTTGAGCTTGTGTAACCACTAAGCTCAAAAAATAGTAGCGTGTAAACTACTTATAAAGTTTTTGACTTGTCTAAAACAGAGAGACTTATAACAAAAATTTTATTTGCAAAAGGGATTAAAAAAGTGGAAAAAGAGAAAGGATTGAGTTTGTTTTATTTACAGCGATGAGGATAGTCTTCCTTCTCAATAAAAAAAATAATACAACAATATTATTATTCCAGTAGTTAGTACAAAAATAAATGTTTTGCATGTGCAAAGAGATCCTTTATTTGTGCACTTTCCGAGCCTTACACCTCTTTACGAGCAGCTCGCAAAATTATCGTTTGTCCTGCACAACGAATTAGTGTTTGGATTTCCCAAGTGTTGCAGATCTCGCTATTTTAGTTTTTCAACTTTTTTACTATTTTATGTATTGAGCATTGTCTACAAAGCCATCAGTTTAAAAAAAAACTAAGTAATTGTAACAAACTAAATCCGTTTTCAGCGTTACGAATATTGTTTAAAAATACCTCGAAATCTTAGAAGATGAAAGCTCGAAATTAACGAATGTCATTCTAATTTGAACTTTCCGCGATAATTTGTTTTTTTATGTATAGTTATGTCCACATTCAAAAACTTAAATCGATCGATTCTACGAAGACAACATTATTTTGATGAAAACCGGTAACGAGCCGGGGCATCTGAGTTGCTACACGCAACCCTAGTCGTAAATCGGTTGCGAAGAATCGAAGGAAGCGTACCATTGCGACTGCGTTGTTTTAATTGCAAATTTCTCTCAATTTTCGCAACGAGTTATTATAAGTGAAAACGTTTTTACTAGTTCTTACCTTGTAATTAATTAAAATGGCAGACAAGAAAGGTATTTATTCGATTTTATTATATTTTTCTTTGTCTTTTTTATTTCGGAGGTTGACATGAGTAACGTCATATTTACAGGGTCTTTGTTAGTTTACGTTTTAATTCTACTATTTTGCTTTGAAACGTCCTTCTACGCGTATCCTGCAGCATTTTTAAATAGTATTTTATTGTAATACGATAGTAGCTCAAGGTTTTGGCGCTGCGGATCAATACGATCCCAAAATCCAAGATGGATGCTATGCAGCTCATTACTAAGGCGGGATGTCTAAAGAATGTGCTAAATATAGCTCCATTGATCACGCAAAACTGGTTCACTGACTACTACTTCCTCTACAGTGAATAAACTGACTACTCACAATGAATTTGTGTGTTTCATGTTGAAAGTTATATCATTTGCACATTTACAATTACCTACATTTTCTTTTTTAACGATTATGATGTCATCACTGCGTACAGGCTTTATTATGGTACGATTTACTTTAATAAATTTGGGATACATTTGCCTACATAGGGTATTGAAAAGTAGGTCAGTCTTAGGTCACCTACATCCTCCATTTGCAGTAGATAGGTACTTGCCTAGTGGCCTGACATAGTATATTTATATTGTTCCATTTTAAATATTTGGCAATGTGCAGCATGATGAACAATACAAATCAAAACAATCTGGTAAATACCTCAGAGTTAGAGGGTATTTAAAAAAAAATCTTATTTAGAAATGAGTAGTTCTCTTTAAAACCATTATTTATTTTTTCTAGTAACTTCTTCTTTTTCCTAATTTTTCTAATAAAATTTATCAAATGTAAGAGATTTGTTACAGCAGTGTTATAGAGGCATTTAAATACCAACTTGCTTTTAACATAGTGAAAAAGTAAAAAACAAATATTCATTTTCAGAAATAAACTTAAAAACTGACTACATTTTTTTAAAGAATTCATTGATATTTAAGAAAATTAAAATTCGGCCTTGACGTCGCAAATGTCAACCTCATTTGAATATTATGCTTATGAACATCTCTATTTCCATGTCTGGGGACATTGTTTTATAGTGAAGAATATTTTAAAATTTATATAGATACATTCTTTTAATATCATCCATTTCTTTTTTGAGCTTTATTCCCATTTCAAATTTAGTACATTTTAACAATGTTCTTCCTCAAAAACAAGCCTCCAAACACAATAAACTGGGAATACTAGAAAACCCATTTTTGAATTTGGAAATACTTCCATTTTTAAATACTCATTGCCGGTTATACTGCCAGTAAGTACCGCTGGCATATTACGATTTAAAAAAGGTGGTAAGCGGCCAGTACTGGTTAAAAAAATATATTTCATTAAACTGTATTCTGTAATATTATGACTAATGTAGTATGTTTTTTAAAATATTTTTCTTAGGGATGTCAGTTGTTCCATAGAAAAATTAAAATAAGAAAATGATTACAGTAATCATAGTAATTATGGAATAAGTTAGCAGCAGTAATGGCTTTTAACCAGAAAGGTTTTTAAAAGTGAAGCTATGCTGGCCTTTGTGAGCATAATATAACCCCACTACCCCCTCCAGCCGCTGTGTGGAGGACCGCGAGGCGCCGCGCCGCCGCCGCCGTCGTGAGCCGTCGATTCGCTCTCATGTAATGAAACAAATAGAATTTTCTTTCTTTCTTTTCTTTTGGAAACATAGAAGAGAGACAAATATATGATATGTGCGTATCGGCGTGTGTACGATCGTATGTGTTATTGATTCGATTGTAACCCTGCTCTTGGTGGTTTGATCGCTGTCTACATATTATAATGATCTTACAGGGTTTTACAGCACTATACTTCCCTTTTGACTTGAATATCATCGTAATATTGTCTCCCCACAGCAAAGTTAAGAATTTTGTACAATTGAAATTAAGTATATATTACAGAATGACACAGCAATCAGGCCACTTATTTGTTTTTTATTCACACATCTGACTAACAATCATGTTTTGATATTTTGAAAAATATTAAGAAATTTTGTTTTTTTTTTTCTGAAAGGACTATCAGTATTGGACTTGAAGCTAAATGGTTGGCTGTACAGTAGATGTTTTTGGCTTGAAATATTTGTATAGTTGTATAAAGTGTCCTTTTGGAAAAGAATGTTTTGTAATAAAAAATATGACTGTCTGGTTGGATTACTTAGTTAACATTTACTTATAAAAAATAAGTTGTGTAAGTTTTAGGGTCGTATTCTAGAACTCTACTCAATGCTCAAGTCAGGACTTGAGTATGATTTCAAGCACTGGAAATACAACCCTAATGGCAAGGACTTGAGTATGATTTCTAGTTGTTTAAATGACACTCAAGTCCTGACTTGAGCATTGAGTAGAGTTCTGGAATACAATCCTCAGAGTGCTGTCGTTTTTTTTTTTCGATAAATATTTTAGTAAATTGAATTTTTTAAGAAAAGTAAAAGTTGTAAAAGACAAAAAAGACAGCACTCTTTGTAATTTGTCAATATTAATTGGTGTTTTCATGCTAGAAGTTTATACTTTTTCATATTTTCAAATTTAGTTCACAGCTTATTTTTTATTTTACTTTTAACACTTTATTTGTATTATCCACAGTGACTGGTCATTTTTACGTATTAATTCCATTTTGAATTCTTTTTTTCACTAGACAAAAGTTAAAAATGCCAGTCATTTTATTTTTCATTGCTAGTATTTTGCACCTTTTATGGCAGAAAGTTAAAAAACATTTGACTTTTTGCACCTAAGATTACCTGCTATTGATTTTTATTAACAGGGAAATCTTTGGTTTTCAGTTTTGAGTTGATTTTTGTTTTTCTTACATAGTTTCATAAGCTAACTTATTAGAATAATACCCTTTTTCGAAAACGATGTGATTTAATAAAAGCGTTAATTTTGAATATTTGTTATGTTGAAATACAACAAAATAAAATAACTATGAAATAGTAAATGTAACTTGAAATCACATCATTTTTCTAATCTAAAATCTTAAAAAACAGTAGAAAATGTGTAAAATTTTTTTAGGATTTTGGATTTTGAGCACAAAATTAGACAACAAGAATTAATTTTGTGACACATTGCAGGCACAACTTCTGTTATAAATTTTCGTCGTATTTAGTAAAGTATAAAGTTGTGCCTTTTATTTAATAAGATTGTGTGTTTTATACTAACAATAACTTATGGAAACAAATCAGTTTACTCAGTATATCGAATTTGAAACAGTGAAAAATCATTATCATTGAAAACCGATGAACAAGTATCACGCGAGCGTGAGTGAGCCCATGGTCACTTGACTATTAACAGTATTGCTTTTGACTTGATTTTGTAAACAGCTGACATAAATACAGTTGTCGGTTGACTTCATGGTTACACGAGATTTAGCCTTATGTCCAACCCCAAGTAATTAACATTATTATTGGAAGTGTGAATTGTATGAAAATAGTTTAGAAAAACTGATTTGTTGAAATGTCAATGAACACTAAATTTTAGTATATTTTTTGTGTTCATTTCTACAATAAGGTGCTGGAAAAATTGGCGTCAAAACATTGTCGTGCTCATGGTTTGACGCCAGTTGACAATATGTATGATTAATTTACACAATTATGTTAATATTAACATTTTTAGATTTTATATGGTTTTAGAAAACCCGTATAGATTCTAAATTAAATTGGGCAGTTTCATTTTTTAATAATATTTTTTTTTAAATAACACGAGTTGATTATAAGGCAAGTTTTTGATATCAAATTAATAAAAAAAAAGAAGCTGGCCACACTGATTCAAAGTTGAGTCAAAATGTTAACAGGAATGACACTTTGTTAGTGCGTGTGTGATTAGAGTAAGGGAAGCAAATGAAGATCTCTATATTTTTAATATCTTGAAAACTACATGCTTGTATACAGTTCAAGTTTTATATAGAAGTTTTCATAATGAATATTTTTTTCACATAGCAACTCCGTAACACCATGTTGTCAAATATATTTGATCTTCATTTGTCTAGCTGCCGGTTGTTTTCACAACTTCTGGTGTTGCATGCTGAAGTAAGCTTGTTGAAGGACAGGGAAGTGCAGGCCTCGTCTCAAACTTTAGTTTCGTTACGGTTTTTTGACACCTCTATCTAGGACTTACTTTCTTTTACTCCTCTCCTTTTGGTCTTGTTGGTCTTTTTCAGGGATCCAGTTTTAAGGACTTCAAAATAATAAGTTTCGGTTGTTGTTGTTGTTGTATAAGATACATCAACAAACCTGGCTTGCGATAATAATAATAAGCTTTATAATAATTTTTATTGGTTTTGAAAGTATGCCATGTTTTGGAATTTCATAACAAAAAAAATGGCATTCTTTGTTGGTAGTATAAAATAAGATTTAGATAGTAATTGTGTTTTTGGAGAGGTTATTTACCAGGATTTCTTGTATTAATATAAAAGTTGGTTGTAAATTTTGTTGTTGCAAGCAGCATGCATGATTTGTTTCCTAGTTTGCTTGTCTCAACATTGAGTTTTTGTGTTGTAGAAAAATAGAAAGCTAATGCAATGTTCTGTTTGTTCAGAAGACAGTTGATTTTAAGTAGTAATTAGTTGAATTGTAATCGAGGGTGTTGAATATGATTTCGTTTTTAACATAGTATAGTAATTAGATTTGTTTAGAATTGTTTTCATTATTGCATGTTTCTGTCCTTCAAAATGCACTCATATCATAGTTATTATTTCAACTTTGCCGCTTATTTGCATCAATGCTTCATTTAGATTCAGACAGCAAAATATACAATTGTATCTACTTTTTTTGCAATAAAATAATTAATTTACAATAAATCTTGGTATTGAACTATTAAAATAGCTAGATACTTGATAGATTATAAATACTGTTTTTAAGGAATGTTCACAGATGTATTACACGTTTTTGCTGCCATTTTGGCGGCCGTATTTAATCGATGAATTTTAGTGTTGCCCACACAGAAAAATTAAAGTTTTTGTATGATTAACTCTTTTTAATTATTTGGAAAAAATGATAGTTTCTGTGTGGACTATATTTTGGAGGTTTTTCAGTATAATGAAATTACAAATTTTCTTGCAACATTTGAATAATGGCGTATTTTCATTTCCTGAAGAATGTCTAAACCCACTCGTTTGCAGTCTTATTAATAAATAATAATTGTCTTTACTTTTTGGAAGGTTCTTTATCGTGTGATGATTGTTTTTAAAACTTATTACATGGTCACACTGGCTGCTACACTGCACTATTGCTTTTACTAAATTGTTGGGTCTGATTTTGTAATCTGCTGGAAAATGGAATATACATTTCTAAGCAAATATTCCACAATAGGCCAAATTAGTTGAAATCCGTTGCTTGTGGTCCTGTTTTTGCTGGCAAGCGACACTTAATTTTCAGCGATTACACGACAGGCTCTCTTACTGTATGAAAACAATTCATGCAATTTAAGCCAGTATGACCATTGGACAAAAGGAATGCAATGTAAATAACTTTTGGTAGGTTTTTCAGCACTCACGCAGCCGTGTTGAATCAACTTGACCTACCAAATGATTGTCCTTGCCATCGAATTGATTTCAAATTTATAATCAATTTTAAATCGATTCGAAATAACACCATTCATATTGAGTTTTTTCAAACGTTTTTTACAGTTTTTTTGTTTGATTGAACTCTTGTGTTTTAGTTCACATTTCGAATGTAGTCAGATTTCTTTTTTTTTTTGAAAAAAACAAGTGCGATGTGAATTGAAATATAAAAATGGTGGACAATGTAACGCCTTGTATGGGCATCGCTTGTCGTTAACACTGACGCCTGTGACTTTGGCTTGGATAAGACTACATTTATTACATTAAAAAATACAAACAATTCTGGAAATGTATGGTACAATTGTACTTAAATAAACTTTGCGGGGGCATTGTCGCCTTGCCACCAGACTCTTTAAAAGTCTATTTAAAAGTCTAATCCATGCCTTTATTGTTTTATTTAAAAGTGTTGTTCTTCTCGAAATATTTGTATTTTTTTATTTCACAATAATTCACGAATAACTGTTTTTTTAATTAAAAAAAGTTGCAACACTTTTAATAATATGGCCACACTGCGTCAAGCGTGAATGCTCGGGCTTGGGTTGCGGCGATACAGCCTCCTGATATGCTGGTTTTACTAATATGCTCGTTTAGACCAAAATCACGGTCGAAGATTATAAAAACTAAGAACCGAAATGAGTGCTATCAACTTTTCGATTATAGCCGGTTACATTTATGTTACCATTATTTGCCAATTGCCTCCCTAAAAAGATATTGGCTTTATTCGACAGTATGTTTGGATATTCGGTCTTAGTTTTTGAACACCATCATGAGATTTATCTAAATTATCATTTATGTGTTTAATAAATCAATCTCTGAATGCAGCTAAGGTTAAAAATGCTCTGTTCACATGGATTTCGTGTACTTTACGAATCAGGTTATTTAAATAACTCTTAGTAGTGTTCAAAGATTATTCTATGGCGAATGTGTTTTCATTGTTCCATAGAGAGAAAGACGCTTCCAGATAATGAATGTTGCTCATGAAAGTGTGAACGAGCCGGTACTCCAGCATGTCAGTGAGGTGGATGCGGACATGTACTAGATAGAGAGTTGACAGAGTGGTTGTTGCAGTGACACCGCCGTTGGGTGCGTACCCGCAGCCGCAGCCTCCGCAGGGCCCGTTCCTGCCCGCGCCGCCGCAGCACGCCTCGCCGCAGTACGGAGGTATGTCATATAGTAAGTAAAGCAAATGTGCAAAACTTTTCAAGTTCATGAAGTGCTACTGTTATTGCACATCTAAGTTTACATCGGACATCAACGGCACTTTAAAGGAGGGATCGAAATTATAATGGTAGTAGTTACCTGAAAATTATCCGATAATCATCCATGCTGATTCATAGTTTCGCCTCTTTAGTTGTTGACTACAAAAGACGAAAATTATTTAAAATTCTTTTGTAGCTTTTAGAGATTGACATTTGACACGTTTGGATACGCCGACGACGTGACATTGTTAGCGATAGCATTTTGTTGTTGAAAGTACATTTATCGAGATAATTCTCGTAATAATTATTATGAAAATTATCACTTCGAATCGTGCTTTAAAGCGATATTCTTTATATTGGTGCTTTAATTTTTTTTTTACAATATATTAATTTCGGGGTCGTTTAATTTCTAGTTGTTTCATACTTTGTTGTCGCCGCTGCATCGGCTTTTACATAAGCTTTTGCAAATAGTTATGCAAAATCATAAAAATGGGGATATACATCAGATGAAAAGCCGTTCGTCATAAGTAAGATCTTTATGTGCACACCACAAGAGGAAAACAAAACGGTTTGGATCAATAACACCATGTATTTCTGCATGATTGATCGTATAATTAATTATATCCTTCATGGAATCCCATTAGTCGTGGAGATGGCAAGTGTGAACAAACGGAAGATTTTGAAAAATTGAGGTGATCTCATCAGTTAGTACTAAAGTTGTACCATGCGTGCGTTTGTCAGTGGCTGGAGGGTCCCCGTACGGAGTAGCGTTCGGAGGCGCCGGCGGGGCGGGTGGCATGTACGCGCCGCCGCCGTATGACCAGCTGCAACACCACCAGGCCATACCCTCGCTCTCGCAGCAGTTGCCGGTGAGTTATTTCATGGTTTCAATTCTGCAACCTTGGGCAAACAGGCTGATGTAACTAGGTAACATTACTACCACAGCAAAGTGTAGTTAAGCAGTTTTATTATAATCGGATTTTCAAATTGGAGCTAACGAATTGACAGCTGCTGATGTCGCTTTGGAAAATAAGTTAATGTCATTGAATGTAGCTTTGTTTATTGTATAGTGATATGTTTGGTTCAGTTATCAATGAATACAATGAAATGGAATCAATCGATAAGTGAAATTTAGTCTCTACATATTTCTACTACTTCTATAATTTTTATTTCATTTCATATTTTATTTTATTTTTGTTATCAAATTATTAACTTTTTAAAATTAACATCAATAATTTACCTCGATGACTTCTTTACGAGTGAGTCAGTGAAATAGATCCTTTATGACAACACTGTTTTTATTAAAAAGTATCGGATCACGAAATGGTAGTTTATTCTCTAATTAAAAATTGACTATAGTTGATAATAGATGTGCCCTTTTTTGGGTGTGTACGACATTGTTTTTGTGGCGTAATAACAATTGTTTATTGGTCACATAAGTCACAAGTTTGTTCCAAAAAAAGATGAGCCACAGCATCTGACGCAAACAAACTGTCGAAAAATTAGTGTGAAGGAAGCCGATTCCGCCCGTTAAACGAACGCGTATCAGCTTAGACTAGACTTTGATTGCTTCAAAGCCACGACCTCCGGTGTCACATCTATGGGTTTCACTAAATTGCCGACAGCTAACGCGGTTCTGCGCCGATTGCCGGTGTAACGTCACGATTTTGTCACGCAATTCCAGATGTACAGCCCCGCAGCTGCGATGTACGCGGCCGCGGCGGGCTACCCCGGCTACATCGGGTACCCGGTGCAGTACTACCCGTACTACCCCACGGCCGTGCAGCCGTCCATCCAGCCGCTGCGCCCGACGATCATGATCCCTGTGAGTGTGGCGGGTTGCGCCGGTGGTCGAGCGGCTGCCGACGTGCGGTTGCTAACGTGCGTGCGCTCTCAGCAGAACGGGTTCGAGGCGGGCGGGCGCTTCGAGGGGCTGGCCGGCGCGCTGCTGCCGCCCGCGCCGCCCGCCGTGCCGCCGTCGCCCGCGCACCTGGCCGCCGCCACCGCCGCCATGCAGCCGCACCAAGTGCTGTGAGTCGCCCGTCCATCGTTCTTGGGGAACGGACAAAACGGATTTCAAAAAACAACATGCCCGTGTTGGGAACCAACTTTTGTTTGTGTCGTACAACACATGCCAATTGTTTCTATTTTGCGTAGATCCCTGTCTTTCTAAGATGGATTTTTTTACAAATCCACGAATTTCGTATGTGTTTTTGACAGCTGACACAGTGCAACTCGATTCGATAAGTTTAACCGTATTTTGAGAAACTTTGTAATTGTAACTTTTATTTAACCGAATATCTTGCCTGTGAAATATTTGCTTATAAGTAATTTATTATAACAAAGTATTATGTACAGGGTCGAGAGCACGTGAAGCTGAAAGAAGATGTTTAACATATAAATCAAACTATGCTTAAACAGCTTACTATAAAAACGGTCCAAAGTACAAAGTGTCAAGCTTGATGTGTTCTTGAATGTACATATACTTACATACTACCTGTGTAATATGGATTATTCCTTTTATGGAAGTCAAAATATTATTGACTGCCTGTGTAAATAGGTTTCATTCTCGTTAATTCCTATTAACGTGTCATACATCCCCTATTTTTATTTTCGCCGACATGAATCCGTCGTACCTTAGGGTGGATCCCTGGAGGTCGATATATCCCCTTTTGGGGAATCTTCGACTCATTACTTTAATTTTATACAACAGCACATCAAGTTTGTCACTTTGTAATGTGGACTATTCCTATCGTAAGCGGCATAGAGGTGAATTATATCTTTTTTTCTACCCTGTATGTTTTTTAAAATCTATTCTGTTGTTTCTCAAAAATGTTAATTTTCGTATTTATTCACTTTATTGTCGAGGTTACGCGCCCCTTTCACTCACAACACGCTTGGAAATCACTGCGATCACCTGAACATTCACACGTCATCCAATTCCATTATGCATTTGCAGTCGTACACTAAACCTCAACAATTATAACTCAACAGAAATCCAAATTCATACAACTTACCTAAACTTCATTGCAGGTGGCGTTAAAAGCGCGTGCTGGGGTGTACTTCCTTCGCAAAGCCACCGACGGCAGCGGACCCGGTAACACTATAACTAACATTATATCACTCGAAAAACGGACGAATTCAACATTACTTAACATGAAAATACTAACTCCCTTTCGACAACTCCAAGTAATAAGATGATTATATATTTCTAAACTAAGACTCAATTCTAAAACTCAATTATCACATATTGTTTTTTCAGGAAGTTGGTTACACTAATAATGACCCCAAAATTGTATCTTGAAATTCCATAATCAAATCTTAACTGATCGACGGGATTACTAGTATAACTGTTTGAAACAAATAGAAGTTCAAATCAAATTACAAAATCATCAAAATCAAATAAAACTAATTTAAGTTTTCAAAAGTCCTACTTTTAAGTCTGGTTTTTTAGACTTGTGTAGGTAGGCAGATGCTATATTATTGTTTTGGGGTTACCAACTTGAATATAACTAATTTATCTACAAGTTTATAAACAAAATAAAACCTGTCCGTGCGTCCGTCGGAGAGTAATATCTTAGCCGGTATTTGACTGTGATGTCTATGTATTCGCTAAATGCGATGGTTGTCGGTATCGAACATGTCAGCTCTCTAAACAAAATTTTAAAACTACATTGACAAGAATCTCGGCGATAATTTTTATGACATTCTTACTTCTCCATTCAAAGAAGGAGAGAGTCGATTAAGTTTTCAAGGAGAAACTTCCTTAAAATCAAAGCTAGCTCAGTCTAGTTAAATCTCGAATGAATTTTTAGTATAAAGTATCTTTATATTTCAATTGTGGTTTTAAATCTATGAAAAATCGTTTATTCAAGTATAATATTAAGAAATTGTTAATTAAAATTAAATACACAACATACGGCAAAATAATTTAAGTTTAAATTACAATGCAACATTACTTTGTGAGAGTAATGGAAATAATTATAGTAGTAATTACAGTCGAGTGCCGGCGGCGGCAGACTAAATAGAAAGTTATTACTTGCATAAACAGCTATAGATTTGAAAGACCAAACAAAGAATATCTGGACTTTGAAAGCGAAGCACCGACAGCCACCGCGTGCAGCGGGCGATGGCGGCGCGTACGACCGCGCCGTTCTCAATACTATAGTATTATAGCGGGAGCGTTAGTGTAGCTTACGTTTGGAGTGGCTGGCTCGACAAAATATATATGCGCATATCTGAATGTAATATTCCTAGTTAATAATGTAACATCGACTATAATAGGGTATTTGAGTCATATTTTCCACTTTCAATACATTCACGTGAACATTCTGAAGTACTTTTCTAGATATCTCGGCTAAAACTAGAGTTTGTTAATGGTTAGAAGTTACTTTTTCGCTAAACAGTCTTTGTTGTATGGCGCCACTGCAATGTGAAGTCGCAAATAGCTTATTTATGGGCTGCTTTATTTATTAACGAATATCGATTCTGTTCTCACATATGTCCATCAATTTTGTAAATTCATTAGACCGGACACGATTACCCCCTGGCGGGAATCAAGTGTACTAAACTATCGGTAGCCAAATTTGGAAAAATATTAGTTATATGCCGCTATGAACAAACGCAACTACCTCATGATAGCATCAACAGTGCTGGTCGAAAAATGGTAAAGGTATCTATGAAATTCCGTTTTTTAATGATTTTTAAGCAATACATAAAAAACCATGTTAAATTTAAAATACTCAGAGTTATGGTTAAATATTTCGTCCCATAATATGAAGTTTCTTAGTACTACATACCGTAGTTAGACACATAGTCGACTTTGCCTTATGAAGTCTAAATTAAAGCCACTTCGAACGTTGTTTAGTAATAATAATAATAAAATTGAGATATACAGAGGTTGTGCGTGACGATGCGTGTGTGAGAGAATGTTTTGTTCGCCTGTTCTAGGTAGATTTATAATTTTACGGCTCGCTCTTGACGACGCGCGTTTCTGATAACATTTACGGATTGCGCAAACTCCTCGACGTTTAATCGAGATATTGTTTCTAATATTTTTTAAGTCAGCGATTGGTAGATTTAATCGGCTTGTCAAAATTTCGTGGATTTATTCAAATTATTAACTTTGTACAATAATTTAAATAAATGTTACACAATACCCGAGTTACTACTGAATATTAGCATAATAAAGTAATAGTACATTATGATATAAGTGCGGTAAGTTGAAAATTACAGCCGTAGGCGATAAGAAAGCAGAGGCTGTAATTTTCAAAGCGCACGTATGTCATACGACGTTTTATAACATATTTGCGAGGAAATAAATAAGACTCTGACTTTCTTAAACGAATAAATCTTTAATTACTTGTTAAGGCAGTTATAGAAATTTGAACAAATTTTAAAAGTGATTGTTACGTTGCCAGTTGGCATTTTTAATGTTGTCAAGTTATTATTATTAGTTACAATCTCCCCAGTCTCTCTCTCACTCTCTTGAGTGAAAGTAGGAGAAACGAGACCACAGAGTTCTGCAGTCGGTGGCGGCGGCGGCGGAGGCGGTTGCGGCTGCGGCGACTATGGTGGAATGTACGCGTGTGTGCTCGTAGATGGTTGAAAGTCAACACTTGACTCCAAATTTATGTTCCTTGTAATGCGAGAGCTAATTTCTTCTTTATTTCTTATCGAGTCTTCTATGTATCCTTCGGCTACATTGCTTGACCGCCATCCTCCGTGGCGTTTTAGTGTCAATAAGTCCGCACCGGAATCGGCGAGCAATGTAGCCGAGGAGCGTCTGAAACTGCCCTGTGTATTCATGTGCTTGAGGCAAATTTAAGAAAGTGGCAATTTCTTTCGGCATTGCTCCCAATTTATTAATGCCAATGGGTTGGTTGGTGCATTTTCCATTTTGATAATTTTGAAAAAATCTGTTGGAATTAGCTTTTGTTGAACGAAGCGCTTCGTATTTCTTCACTACGTCGTAAAAAGGCCCCTGTATTGTGAACGACCTTGGAATTTTATTTTTTGTGTTTTTGACCTGGACAAGAAGAACCCGCCCATGGTTCTCGACATCATTATTTGTATGTTTGCCAAGTCTTGACGTCTACATGCACCATTTATACCGAATATTAATACAACCTGAAAAGAGATAAAAAGAACGTATAAACACCTATATTGTAAAGAAATACGAAAGTGAAAGAAATTAATAACAATAATTTAGTTTCAACTGACCTTTGTTGCCAAATATCGCCAATCCGGAGCTTCTTTTAGGAACTTCTTGATATTGTCAGCCGAAAATACTTTCGACTTTTTACTTACATGGCCATCTGAGCGTCTTTTTAGAAATGCTATCAAGTTGGAGTATGACTTGATATCAATACCATGGTTTGTTTTCATAGTGCTTTTTAGCATTGAATAGTAGCACCACAATGAGCTTGACTTATATTTTTGAGAAAGTTCCATGAAATAGGCTAAAAACACATTTTCTGAAAATGAATTTGCATCTTTGCTTGTTTTCCATATGATGAAATTTTGATACGTTTGTAAGTATCTGTCGGTCGATTTTTCAGGTTTAAGACTTGTGGCGGTGTCAAATTAATAAATTCATCACTACTTGACGACATTTTCAAATAAAAACAATACAGCGAAAAGAAAAAGCGCGCGAAAAAATTTTTACTTGTCCACAAATTAGCCATGCGCGCGCATCAACGTTTTTTTTTTTAGGCAAAGGTATAAAAATAGCCAGTATTACTAATAAAGTAAATTAATATTTTTATGTTTTTGTTACAGATAAATGGTTGTAATTTATTGTCAAAATTAAATAAATGAAAGAATTAAATGTTTATTTACTATATTTTATCTCCCAAAGTTAATTTTATTCATAAAATATTGACCACTTTTCTAACAAAAACTCTTTGCAAAGATTTAAAAAAGTATCGTTCATTTTTAGACGGAGGATCTTAAAAAACCGTGCATGTTACTTTATTTAAAAAAAAACTCGTGCGTTTTACATTACAATAAGGCACAAGTGCGTAATGAAATACATTACGATATTGAAATTGGTGTGATTTCAGCCACTTTACGAGCAAATATGTTATAAATGTTTAAAAGAAACTTGCGCCAGGCCAAGAGCGAGCTGACCGACCCAGTAGGATTGAACTGAAATGTGATCGACTCGAATGATTTTGAATCTCACCAATGGTCTTTACGAAAATAAAAATTAAAAATATTTTTTGGTTAGGAAATATTTTTGAATGCGTTTTCAAATTTTAATCGCGGCTTGTTTTTGTTAAATTATATAAACTGGTGTCTTTTTTTGAAAAGATTTAAGCCATTTTAAGTCGTGTTGAGTAGCATTTCTTACGTCTCTTATTGTTTGAAGGTGGCATTTTTTCAAAAAATAACACCAGCGGCTTAATTCGCATTGATGCATAACACATTTCACCCGAAATTCTAGTTACAGCCAGTAATAGCACAATATGACCCAATTAAGTTAGAAAAACGTAACCACAAAGCTGTCAGGTCAGTGATTGTTTACTGTATTTTAAGAATTCATAAAATGATGAAAGTGTTTTAGATCAATGTGATTTTGCATCTGTACACGGTTGTTCCTTATTAACCCGAAACAGCTTTAACTCGGTATTATTTATTTTAACAATCAACTTTTGTTGAAACGACTTTTGGACAAAATTTTTCAACTTTTCATACAAACCGAGAAATGTAGAAGTCGTATAATTAAAGTTGTTTGATTTTGATTTGACGAAATTGCCAGGTTAAGAAGTTTCTGGTGCATAAAAACACTGTTTATTCATCACTAGAAAATGACTATTGTGATATTCATAATATGAAAATATAATGAATCTAACAAAAACGGTTATATATTAACAAATTTCTTATAAATCGCTTTTATAATGTTCATATATGTAAAAGTATCCTTCAACATATTGAAATTTTAGAAATTATTGTAGTAATTTTGGAAATGGTAATTTTTGAAAGTTCTTTTATGATGAAGCTGGTCTTATTTCCAACATTTTAACGTCATGAACCATTAAAAGTTTATTTTTAATATCATGTTTGTAAGATGTCACTAAAGTAATTTTCCAGTGATTCAAATAAGTTGATTTTTTTGTAAGCATGAACTGTTGGGGAATATGTTCGTTTAAAACGA